GGTGACTCGACGAGTCCAGGCTTGACTCGACGAGTCAACTCGCCAGATAATGCTTATCTCGGGATTTCTTGCTGTTTTTGCATATGGATAGTTACCTTATCATGTTAGATCAATATTAATCCGGTTATATGATATATTTGACTATATTTTTGATCTAATTGAGGATATTTATCAATTAATAAGATAATTGTTTCCTTATAAGATAATTGATTAATTATTTTGAGTAAATTGATATATTGTTTTGCAAGAAATCATTAAATAAATCAAATATGGATAATTATGTGATTAAATGTTAATTTAAAATTATTTGTTATTTGATCCTTGTTCTTATGAAAAGTTTCATATTTTCCCCTTTAGGTTTTATAGTTTAAATTTGAACCCAAAAGTTTTGAAGTTTTGAAATTCAAATAGTTAAAACCCTAATGTTTTGAAAAAAGGTTTCAAAATTTGCCCTCAAGTTTTGGAATTTAAAGTTGATTAAAAGTTTAATTAAGAATGTTAAATTCTAAAACCCTAGTAATGTTTTGAAAAGTTCAATTTACACCCTTATGGTTTTATTAATTAATTAAGGTGTATAATTAAAAGAGATTTAATAAATCCATAAAAGTTTAGGTTAACCATTTAATTGAATTAAAAGTGTAATTGTTAAAGTTAACCTCATAGTATTTTAAAAGTATAAAATGCACCCTATACTATATATAACATTAAAAGTCTAACATTATATATATGTATGAGTAAAAGTCAGTCTTACCGTTAGTAGGCTCATTCACGAAGCTGGTCTATAAGGGGTGTTTAAGGAAATTGCCTATAAAATGGCGATTGAATGGGTATCCACTCTTACCCACCGCACTCTTGACTAGTGGAGGGTCGTTAGCCGAACGGGTAGGATAGGACGAAACCTTCCATTATAAGTATAATGAAGTACAAAAGTAACTAAATGTTTTTCAAATTCCCAATCTTAGTTACTTAGGCAAAGTGAATTGATGCAATTCCATGAAATTACACTTTGTGCCCTTGCGAAGACGTTAGTGGAGCGTGTGTGGTTTACCGGCACACTAAATGGTTCTAAGAAAAGGTAGCAAAGGGTGACTCAATGTTTGTCATAGTTCGGTGGAGCGTGTTTGGTTTACCGGCACATCGAATAGGTGATTGTAACATGTGAGGGAACCATGTAAGTTTGCATGGTTATTCACACCCGCTTTGTGATCCTCGGCATCCCAGTCACAAACAAGAGGGGCATATCGAGATTTAAACATGCCATTGAAATGTTCAATGAATCTCAAAGGATCTAGGAGTTTTCATAGATTTAAAACTTAATTTTTTTTTTTTCGTTTTTCATGGTGGAAATTAGTGAATCATCATTCACTTACCTTCAAATATTCTGCAACTAGATTACGACATCCCTTTTCTAGGTTGGAGCGTATTGTGTTGGGTCCTAGCCTTAGTATCTCATTTGGGTGATTTACTAAGGACTCAATCGATCAACTAACTTGAATTTGTTTTCTCCCGTTTTGTAGATGTCAAAGTTCGAAAACTATGGTCTTCCCGAATCCCGTGGAACAAGCATTCCACATGAAGATGATATTCCACGATTCGATCGAGGAACAAGAAATCATGCTTCACTTCCTCCTCCTCCTCTAATTATTCCCCTAACCCACAAGATTGTAAAATTGAAAAGTTCAATATCACTCAAGCCCTTTTGGCAAGTAAACATAAAGAAGGAAAGTCGGTGTGTGCACACGTCTTAGGGATGAAGTCACACATTGATAGGTTAAGAATGATGGGATCCGTTGTCGGTGAAGAGATGGTTGTTGATTGGGTTCTTCAGTCACTTCCTAACTCATATAGTGAGTTCATTAGAGAGTACTATATGATGAACCATGACGTGACCCTTATTGATTTCACCTATATGCTTATTGCTGCTGAATCAGCAATGGTTTGGCGCAATAGAAAAGCAAAGTTGATTGGTGAATCTGCCTTCAAAACCTCTATGGATATAGACAATGGCAATGAAAGACATGCAATGATCGAAAAGTTTGATCATAAGAGAAAGGCGATGTCTGAAGTAGTTCCATGTGTTGTTCCAAAAGAGTCAATTTATTTTTATTGCCAAGAGATGGGGCATTGGAGACGAAGTTGCCCTATTTACCTAAGAGATCTAAGAGATGGGAGAGTCAAAAGTATGACTACGCTTCAGGTAAAATCCACTATCTAACTCCTTTAAGTTCCTATTCATTGATTCTTAATACATGATGTGATAAGATTGCATTTGAATGTTTTGAAGGATCGGTGAAAAGAAAGGAAGCTTGATAAGAGAGCAAGATGAATCTAATCACAAGAGATGGATCTTGATCGCATGGACTTGAAGATTGGATTTTGAGCTTAGATAGTTATGATAGAGTTGTTAGAAATTTTCCTTTACATAGTTTTCAATAGATTTTGCATTGTAAGGACAAATGTTTTTCCACTGCTTTTATAAATAAAATAAATTTTGTTTGACTTATTTGTTTACTTCCTTGCAATGAAATCGTTATGAAAATTGATGTTTGCATATTTCTACAACGAATGGATATGATTCTTAGTTATGTTATGGAAATGTCGAGAATTTACCAAATAGGGAGAGTTTCTCATCGCCCAAAGTTTCAATTGGACTGAAATTTGGGATCACGCAACTTGGTTGCATGATGAATGAGAAATTTCATATTTGGAAATTAGACAAATTCATTGACAAAGTGTCAAGTGAAGGACTAGGAGATCGAGTACACAAAGTTGTGTGTTGATCAAGTTCACCATAAGAGTAACAAAGATATTCGTCATGATTTACTAAAGGCTTAGTAAATATGATTACACTTATAAGATTAAGTCTAATTCGGAATTGATTAAATAGGTTTGAATCAATAGCAAAACGAATAAGAAGAATCAAGTAGGCAGAAAGATAAAAGTTTCTCTATTCTAAGAAGAAGGGAGAGTAGCTTTTATGCTTTATGATAGATCTTAATGATTAAGAACCATATCTCAATTGATCCTCTAAGTAAGTCTTAGTACAATTGTATGTTTAAGAAGAAGAATCAAGGATTGAAGAAATGGTTAAATCAAGAAGTCTATCATAGTTCGTCCCAATAACAAGTCTTAAAGTTAAGATTGTGACAATGAGTGAAAAGTATTAAAGGTTTATAACATTCATCAAATGTGGAAAGTTGTGATGTCTTGGATAAGACAAAGGCCAACTAGGACCAATTTATGAAGTGTTTTGATAAAAGCTACACTAACTCTTGAATAATTGTTTGTCAAAAAATGGTTATTGACAAGAGAATCTTATATTTCAAGGAGTCAGTGGGAGTCTTAATGGTCTTGAAAGGTTTCAAGAACAAATCAAATAAACCTTAACGATCATTACTAGCACACGAGTTGAGTTTTACAACCTATCGTGTTGACCATATTTTGTTTCTGTGTTGTTTCCAATTAAGTTAATTATGCATGTGAGGTCTTTGAGTTCTCATTTTGAATGCATAAAAGGCAAGGCACCTTGATCAATGAAAGGTACAATGATAGGAAAAAGGTGAGATTCTTAACTACTTAGAAGACTTGGTGGGCAGCTGTGCTACCATAAGGCAAGAAATCAAGATTAAGAAAGTTCGGTCCATATAAATTTGAATTTGTCGTAAACTTTGGTTTTAACAAATTCACATGGATAGAAACACATACACCGTTTAAAATCTAAGTGTCATTAGATTTCCTCTTCATGAAAATGATT